GGAGCAGAGGTCCGGGCGGGGTGGCGCGCGCTGCTACTCACAGTCCGGGCGGCCTCGGGCGAAGTGCGGCAGCGAACTCCGGTGGCGGCTACGTCAGCGGGACCCGGCTCCGTCGCTATGAGACTACCAGCTGCAGCTAAACGGCTGACCCCGCCCACCGCGCCACGCGCATGCGCTGCTCACTGCCCCGTGACGCAGCGGGGTGTCTCGTGCACTGGGGGAAGCCCGCGAGGGGTGGGGTGGGGTGGGGGGCCCTGAGGGAGGGGTGTCGCCCCCTCCCGCCTTGTCCAGGCCCCAGCGCCTCTCGCGCCGCCCGACGGGTTGGTGTCTGAGGTACCGCCACGTCGTCTTCTGGTGGCTTCTCTGCCCCCTGCCCCGCTTCCTCGCACCCGTCTCGCAGGCTGGCTCCGCCTTGCAAGGGCTGCCGGGAAAGGCGGAGGAAATCACCCTCCTGCTTCTGCCTCAAGGTCTCCCGCGCCTACAGCCGAGCCGCGCAAACCTGCCTCTGGGGCACCCCCGGGGGTAGACCCAGCGCCGCCCCCGTCTACCGTCTGGATGGGGCCAGGCTGGTCTCCGTGCTGGCAGACGACAGGACACGGTCTCCAGTTGCAGCCAGGGAGCTCTACGTTGGATGTTAGGAAACAGTGTCTTCCTAGCAGGGTGGTGAAGCGCTGGAGCAGGCTCCTAGAGAGGTGGTGGGCTCCTCATCCTTGGAGGTTTGTAAACCCAGGATGAATAATGCTTTGGCTGGGATGATCTAGCTGGAGACGGTTCTGTTCTGAGCAGGGCGTTGGATTAGACCTCCTAAGGTCCCTTCCAACCCTGATTTTATACCATTTGTTTTGGAGACAGTACTACATAGTAAGGAAGTTTGATGCCCAGGGCAAGCCCACAGCAGTGGCCTGCCCTTACCCACCACGCAGATCCGGGGGCACCACCCCCCATGCTTCTCCAGGAGCACATGCAGCTGCAGGAGCTGCCCTTCCCCATCCCTGTGCCCCACCAAATGAGCCGCTCACGGCTCCATCCTGCCCCGCGCCCCTTAGCTTTGGCATGCAGAGCAGTTGCTCCACTCAAACCACCTGCCTTGCTACGGTACTGTTTGGAGAGGATGCTCCCTGGAGATCTCAGTGCAGCCTGCCCTCTTTGGGCACTTACACATGTGCAAGGTGGATACTCTGACATACTGTAAATCTGGGGCGTGGGAGCAAACTCGATTAATCTGCTGGAGTGCAGAAATTAACATGCTCTAGCAGCCTCCAGCATCCCTAGGGTTTGAATTACACTACAGCTCTTGCGGGGGTCTGTAGTGGTGGCAGCCAGAAACCAGAAGGAGTCACTGCCCGAGCCGCTTAAAAAGAAGCAAGGTTGCCAGGGCCTCCCAGAACATTAGCTTTTAAAATGGAAATACCATATGGAGGGGTGCTTTGAGTCAAGTGAGGGGTGCCTTCTCTTCAAAAATGTTGAGAACCACTACTTTATGTATAACTGGAGTGCAGTTAGAAGTGAATGCACCTGACATACTCTTGAGTGTATTACACCAATGCTATTACCATTATCAATTAAACTTGCAATCTCATCAGAAAAGAATATCCAATGAATTTGACAGGATCCATTTCCCATAAATTCAGGTTGACTGGCAGCCATTATATTATCCTCCCTTAATTATTTATGAATTGCATTCCATACTAACAGTGCCGTTATTTTGTCTGGATCGAAACCAGGCTGACATGTTTATAATGGTTTGTCCCATTTAATCCTATAAAAAATGTTGGCACAACATTAGCTTTGTAGAAAGGGCTTCATTTGCTATTTTTGCTGCTGTCATGCAATCATGAGTAGCCTAAGTACTCCCCAGCCCATCTGAGTCCACTTCTGTGGACCAAAAGTTCCCCAGTGGGGCTTTTCTGGGCTGGTTTTGATTGTCCGCTCTTGAGTCCTCAGTCTGTGGCAGACACTAAGATAAGCCTGGAGCAGCACAGGGGGACAAACCTTCTGAGCATTGTAGCATATCAGTGGATTGGAGTGGGGCAAGCTCACCCCTGCCTTTCTTGGGGTGCCCTGCTGATGTGGTGTAGATCATTTATATATATTTATAGATGGTTTGTAATTTCCTTATTTCTACTGTACTTTAAGGAAAGCACTTGTTAATTTTATTTGTCATTTTCAGAATCATTAATATTGTCATCTGAACACTTACTTAATAGGACAGCTGACCACTTCATGGTTCTCTTGGTGAGCCTGGCATGTAGGCATAATTACTTGCTTAACAAAAGGGAAGTAAAAGAGTAAAAAACTTAGGGAATGTGAGGGGAAGGGACATGCTGCTGAGTATGGAGGGAAAGGGAGGGGGAATAATTCTTACTTGATTTGGGAACTTTAAAAAGTCTCTAACTGCTGCTCCCATGATATGGTCCAAAAGGTGGGGTGGGAGGGTTGTGTAACCTTACCACTGCACCCATCTGCCCCTGGACTCACACTAGCATAAGAGTTTACCATTGGTCAGTGAATTGTCGAGCTGTGTCCTAAATTAATGTGGGAGACAAAAGGAGAACATATAATAACCATGCAAGACAGAGAAAGGGAGAGGTAGTGTACTGATTGCAATAATACCAGTTAATAGAGCAAACATAGACAAACATAGACATTATCAATGTTTGTCAACAGAACAAACATCGACATTATCAATTTTGTGAAACTGCTGTTGGACTTTTCCTCACCTTTTATTTTACCTTAGAAATTAAAGTCTTGTCTGTCACGGAAAACTACAATAACTGGAGAAACAGTTCAATGACATTCTGAGAGCCAGTGAAACCTGAGAGGAAGAGGTTTTAGTTACGCTGTTTAAAACTTTTGAGTTTTATTTAACACCAACATCCAAGTAAATGTTTCTTGAGTTGTTACCGAAGTGTTTGCTAACTTGTATAGTTGAATCAGTTCAAGATAAGCATAAGGGGATCCTAACAGTAACTACATCAATGAGTAATATTTATAAGTTATTACACAAAGGTCCAAAACTTTCACAGCACTTTAATTACTAGAAGTGTTTGGAAAATGAAAATCTATTTTTGTGGAAAAATGTCAGCATTTTTTGGTTCAAAATCTTTTTCTTATTTTTTGAACATTTTCCTTTTTTTATTTTTTTCACCTCCATTACCACTATTCTGCCCTAGTATCATGGACCGGCCCTGAACAGCGATCTCTCTCACACTGGAGAATAAAAAGAATGCAAAAAGGAGGAGTGAAGAAAAAAAGGAGACAGTGGATGTTTCTTTAATGGATTTTCTTATTCTGGGTTTAACAGGTCTGACGTGCTGTGAAGCTATTTGCTAGAGAAATTACCTTAGCAACTTGAGATACAAGAAAATATGAGGTTACAGGAACAAGAATAATTAGATATTCTCATAGGAACATCATCTAAATATCCAAAACTAACTGCTGAATGTAGTGTACATCCCCTCCTTCCAACCACCCTCCCTAAAAAAACCACAACAGAATGCAGTTAATATGCTTTTAAAGCATGCTCTTGAAGAGAAGAGCATTTGAAAAAGTTATTTGCAAGTAATTACATTTATCCTAGTACATAATAATGCACCATTTTCAAATTCTTTTTGTTTTGATGCTAAGTGAGTATCAGAGTCAACATGGGCAGGTTGCTTTTCCAATAATTTGTTTCCTGGAGCTCAGTCCTGAACTGCTTATTCATTGAACATAATAAGAGTTTTTCTTGTAGAAGGATTCCATGATTAGATCTATTGTATGAGAGCAGAGCAACACCTGGTGAACTCATCAGCTTGTGCTTACTCAGACTGGAACACCCTACACCGAGTATCATGATTATTTTTCCATCGTTGAAATAAACTTTTTTTTACCATTGTTTTCATGCTAACTTCCAGAGAACAACGGGCTCCATGCCTGCCTGGGAAATAACAAATCACAAGCAGCTGCAGAGTTTCTAGTAAAGTTGCCTGTGGTATTAAGGCTGTCCCTTCCACTTAAAAGTAGAAGAGGCAGTTTCAGAGAGTCATTAGATCTTTCAGAGAATGAAGTCATGTTCTATACCTTTATATATGGCAAGGAGGCTTTCAGCATGTAAAATAAATACATACAAAAATTTCATTAGAGAAACATTTAAGGTGGCAGTCAAGCACTGAAAATGGCAGAATATTTTTTGGCCCCCTTTTGCATATACATTAGGGTGCAGTACCTAATCATAAACTATTTTCCACATGATGCGTTGCAGGAGACAGAACAGACTGTGCTCACTGAGCAAATAGCTTTTCAATACTGTGTTTTATTGTCACACTTCAATGTATGACCTTGTTACCTTATTTAGTGCAAACTATTCAAAAACTGCTCTGAAAGTATCATCATTAATGTCCTGGTGGGATTTTCTGCAACACTTACCAATGTAATGTTTTAATGCTGCACAAATCTTAATGAATTTATTTTTATAATCCTCCTATGAGTTGAGGTGATATTATTATTCCTGTATTGCAGTCTGGGAACTGAACCATTAATGTTAAACTTGTAATTTTGGGTATGCAGTTTAAGATTCTTACAATGTTATTTACTTTTTAAAATACTTTTTATTGTTCAATTTATTGTATTATTTTGGCAAAAGCTGTAAACGACTATTGCTACATTTTTTTCTGAGAACAGAATGCCTTATTTAGTCAGAATGTAGATATCCCCTGACTTTGATTGCAGCTATGAGTGCCCAGTACTTTTTACAAATCAGATCCTAGAGTTCTTAGTGGGTACATAGATAATGGGAAACACAATAGTTACCTGTTAAAAGTCTGATTCAAGTGGCTTGTCCAGCATAATTTCGAAATTCTGTTCAAGAGGCAGAGATGAAATCAAAGTTTCCAGCATGGCATTTAGTTTCTTAAAAATACAAGACCACCCTTATTTTCCCTAGAATCCCTTTCCTTATTCAGCAGCCACCTTCTAAGTTCTAAAGTGTCAGAGGAAAATGTTCTGTGGGCAACAGCCTCCTTCACTATGTAATCTTGAGTCATTCCCTGAAAGAGGAAACTGGGAAGAAAAATAATCAGGAAGTGGGTGGAGTGGATTTCTACACTCATACACAGGGTTATTGTGCTTCTCCCTGTACCTAATCCACAAGTGAGATTTCATTGGAAGGAATA